TAGATAAAAACTTACTAGATTTTTCTCATAAATAAAATTTCAATTGGGACCTTCCCCCAATTTCCCAAAAAAAAAAAACAAAGAAAGAAAGACAGCTGCAGAAGTGAACCCATACGCAACACAATAAGCCTTTTGTGTCAATTTTTTTTTTTTTTGCCCCTTTGGAACGTATAAGGGCATGCTTGTATAAAATATTAAATTCAGTAAAAGATGCCAGTAGATGCAAAGTTAGGTACCAAAAACAAAAGACGCCTGCAGGAAATTGCTGAGATTTAATTCTAAATTTTCAAGGGTTCATCAGAACTACGTTTAAAAGACTATTAAAACAGACCATGGTTCAACGGTTACAGAGAAAATGATCCATATCAAGAGAGCCAACAGGTTATATTATATTAACATAATATGAAAGGAAAGTAGAAAATACACAGATGTTTTGTGATTTAACCACAGCAGTTGCTCTTCTGCTGGATTGGCTGTCCCTTCATCTCAACAGTTCCTGTTGACTTGCCACCTGTTGTTGGTTGGCTTCCCATCCTGCAATCACAAAAAGTACACTAAAGTGGTGTTTGGGTGGAAACCAAACCATAATTTTAAAAATGACTTTACGATATATAAAGTATGTGATAGGAGTCCTGTCTCAACTAACGTTAAAGCACTTTATTAAGTCATGAAAGGACAAAAATTTATGTACATGTTTGATGTCAATCTCTAACAAAAACATGTCGGATTCTTTTCCAATTCAGATCTTTTACATTCACAAAATAAACAAAGCCCATCCAGAGAGATAAAGAAAAAGAGAGTAGATGAGTGTAATAATATAATGTGAAGTCCAAACATAATCCCATTCTCTTGTATTGGTCTCTCTCCAAATGCATAAATTCATGAATGTGGAGGATTCAATTTGGATACTTCTTATGGTTTAAGATTATTACAGAATTGTCACTTGCAAAAAATTTCATCCACTGATTATATATTTATTGAAGAACTTGTTGACCAACTCATCAGACAAAAGGGTACACGAGATAGTTAATTGCTTTTGAAGTAATGAAGTGATCAGAATATAATCACTCTGTACCTAATATGCAGCCAATAAATAAAATCTAGAAACAGCAAGGAGTTATATAAAAAAGTAAACACTTGACTTCAAACATCACAATTACATCATTCAATTTTTCCTCAGTTACATTATATATTACAAAGTGAATTTAATGATTCTAACAACAATAAACTCCCATCACACAGGCAACATGTGAGAATGGCTGCAACATGGGAATGCAGAAATTAAAATTGTCATAAAAAGTAAGGGCTTACACTTGTTATATTATTAAACTTTTCAATTGGAGATAATCTTTAACTTCAACCAAGAGGAAAAGGGCAGGAGGGCAAAACAAATCAAACAAAAACCTAAATCATAGTATTCATTATCTGTGAATTGATCAATATCTAAATCATTGAGAAACAAGGGAAGTGGGAAGAAAAAATACTTCTTCTTAATCTCAGCCGTCATGGTTAAGAAGGCCTGCTCCACATTGATTGAGTCTTTAGCACTTGTCTCGAGGAAAGGGATACCAAGTTCATCAGCAAATGCCTGTAATTAAACCCATAGATATGAAGAAATCATGTTAGATAAGCAACACCTTAATTAATTTCTTTCTCTTTTGGTACGTTCAAAACTAACAAAATTTTATTTGTTGCCTGAGTTTCCACTGCTAATCGCATTTGATCCCTACCATCAAGCAAAAATCAGACAATTTCACTCTATGCCTCGTGTTAGGTAGCCATCAAACTAACCCATTTGCATATATAAACAAATATTACCAAGTTTGAACTTATACATCGCATTGTCAAGATGTTACAATTTATAACAAGATCAACAGGAAACGGCTAGAACAGACAGAAACAGAAAACTAATATAAAACAATGAAAATATAGAAAGCAAACATGTATGAGCAGATGCCTGACGTTAGGTTGAATTTGACATAAAAAAATTGTGAAATTACAATCCAACAGTCACATTTACCTTAGCTGTCTGCGTGTCAACAACCTTGTTATCAACTAGGTCGCATTTGTTACCAACAAGAAGCTTGCAGACACTGTCATTAGCATATCTATCAATTTCATTCAACCACTGCTTGACATTGTTGAAGCTCTCCATCTCAGTAACATCATAGACAATCTGTTGCAATCTCAAACCATATATAATTCAAAAGTTTGATAGATTTTGCTGCTGAGACAAAGTCTTTATTATATTCCTCACAGTTTAATGACGATAGAACAGAGCCACTTACAATTATTCCATGAGCTCCCCTATAATAACTACTTGTTATGGTTCTGAATCTCTCTTGTCCGGCAGTATCCCACTAAAAACGAAAAGGACAGAGTGTCAGATTCATCACTTCTAATTAAAAATTTACTAGATTAGGCTTTGGAATATATTAGGAAGCAAATTAGAAGCCTGTTTTAATAAGGTTACACCAAATGCTTAAACTGAATTACACAACCAAGTTGCTTCTGTGAAACCATGACAATGAAGAGAAAAATGCAGTTGGACAAACCATGAATGGAAAATTATCTCCAGATCCCCTCTGCATATTCTATCAAAATCAGATGATATGGGTGTATATTAAATGAAATTTGCAGCTTTAAATGCAGTATTTTGGGAAATCATAGCCCTAATTTGCATGGTTTTGAAGCATAAATGTTCTAAACAGTGAAGTAAAATACACGCTACTTTTCATATTTTATTAGACAGGATTAAAAGTTACATCACTTCCTTAAACTTGGTACAACGAATATGATCCTATGGCTACACAACATCATATAGGATGAGACATGCCTAGATATCATATAAGCCACATAGTTAGTCATAATACAAAATCTTATTAAATGAAGAGCACGTATGATAAAGGCCACAGTTTCTACTCACAATCTGCAGCTTGACTGTTTTCCCTTCCAGCTCCACAGTTCTGATTTTCTGAAAAGAAAAAAGGAAGTTGCTGCTTTTCAACCATGAAAATATCTGAATATAAATTAAGAAAAAGAAAAAGAAAAAATTATCAGAAATGTAATTAATAAAGCAGAGAATGATACTTACGAAATCAACCCCAATGGTGCTTATGTAGCTGTCCACATACGAGTCATCCTGAAAATTATAGTGAGCAATGAAATAAAATTAACCAACCATTAACTTGAAACAATGTCTCGCTCCGCAGAATAACCCAAATTAAGCAAAATGGGTGACAGTATAACAAAAATGCACCAACAAAGTCAACTCACAGCAAATCTGAGAAGCAAGCAAGATTTTCCAACCGAGGAGTCCCCGATTAGCAGAAGCTTGAACAGGTAATCGCTGAAATCAAGCCAAAAACGCAAAAAAAAAAAAAAAGAAATTTCACACAAACAATTCCAGAGAAAATAAACAGGAAAAGAAAAAGTCTTTGGAGGGAAAGGGGCTAACTTACTATTCGTTGCTCATTGGGGTTGTTTATGATCGAAATAAGTGACGTCTCCTGTGTTTACTTCCTCCTTGGGCTTTCTCTCCGCGACCTCTAAAGGAAGAAGAAACGAAAGAAGAAAGAAAAGCGACGAAATGGTGCTGTCCCTCACCTCATCATCAGTCAAATACAATGATTCTACCTTGAAAGAATTTATCTCAATTAAATAATTTCTTTTATTTTCGCAGTGCAATTACAGTTAAGGCCATTCCCGCTCTTGAATATATCTTGGCGGTTCACGCGCGGGCAACATGCGTGTTGTCTTGTTCATTTGCAGAGGGGGTGAAAACTGGAAACCAGTGATTTTACCATGCATAAAATAAATATATAAAAATATTTTTTTTAGAGTAATTTTGAAACATTCTAACACCCCCTGGTAGGCTGTGGCTCGCTTACTTTTTTTGAAACTAGTTTTTTTTTTACACCAATTGAAAATAAATTATATGTTGCTTCATATTTTTATTTGACATCTTTTGGTATGAAAAGAGGGATTCAAGTCAACAGAAGTATAGCTAAAGCTTCTTGGTATGAACAGTAACGTAACAAAATTAGCGATTAAATAATCATCTGCACATCTTAGTCATTTAAATTCACTTAATTTTGAAATGAGTTAATATAATTTTTTGGTCCTTCAAGTTTACTCTAATTTTGATTTTAGTTTCTCAAATTTCAAATTATAGGTTTTGGTCTTTCAAATTTCTTTTTATTTAAAATATTAGTTTCTATAATTCAATAAAAATATAGACTATTTTGTTCTTAGAGAGACTAAAATCTATAATTTAAAATTTGAGAAATTAAAATAAAAATGAGGACAAATTTAAAGGATTAAAAATTATATTAACGCTTTTGAAATAAACGTTTTAGGTAAGGGTAAATTTGGTAGTTTGTTAAAGATATCCCCTTCCGGGCCCCGGCCCCAATCAATCTAGAGGCGAAATGCCGAAAAGCTTATGGATGACATCACCAAATTATAATTTCGGTGCAATTACTAATTACACGACAAATTAAAAGGTGGGCATCAAATACGTTGATATGCTAAATGATTTTGATCTCGTCCTTTTTATTAAAAACAAAAAAAAACAGCAAAAATCCCCTAACAATTTTTTTTTTTCATACTTGTCTCATATTTTATAAATTATTATTGAAAAACAGCTTATAAGCTGTCTAAACGAGTCTTTAAAGGATAGCCCTCCCAACAACAAATATGCTTCTCATATTAGTCTCAAATTCAATATGAGTACTATTATTTTATTTTAAAAAATTAATTTAAAACAATAACTATGGAAGATGAAAAAAAAAGAAGCAGAAATGTAACTTTTGTTTAAATTAGAAAAATCTATATTTATGGAGAATGAGTACACTGAATGATAAATAATGGGGACAAGAAAAAAAAATGAAATTACAAATTTCAGATAGAATATTATCTCTCTTACAAATAGGAGCGGGTTGTCCCTAAAAAAAACTCCTTATATATAAAACCGAAGGTAATATATAAAAAGGATCATTAAAAAGTTCAGCAGCTTATATATTCTTATTAATCCATGAATCCACAACAAAACTTACAAAATCAAAGGAATCAGAATCACCAAAAGGATCTCTTTATTTATATATTTGGCTATAATGAATATATGTAAACTATATATGCAAAACATGAGGCTCAAAATCTCTCCACTTCCCTTCAAGTTCACTAAAACTCACTAAAGCACAAGAGACAATGACCAGGAGAGAATATTATTCCAAAGACATGAGAGTTTTAAAAGAAAGAAATGAAACTAATGAATTTTAATCCTGAGGACAAAATGGCTTATCCAGGTCATCCCTGTGACTAGGAATTCTGAAGTGCCTTAACCTTCCTTCTTGTTTCTTCATATACTTGTCACACAAGAAAGCCCTAGAAAACTTATCTTCAACTTCTCTATTCACATCATGAACAAACACATCAGTTTCTCCACTTTCTCTGTTCCTAGCCATCATTCCAGCAGTATATATAGCAGTCATCCTCCCAGGAGCTTCCTCATAATACCCAGTTGGTGCATCCACCATTATCAAATCCCATTTTATCTCATAGATCTCACTGGGCAATCCCTTCAATGCAAGTTGGCACATGGAGTACCTAGTATCTCCCACTGCTGTACATTCTGGTCCTTTTCCTACTTCCATCAGGTTGTCAGCTTCATTCACCTTGCTGTCATAGGTGACATGGTAGGACTCGAGGCCGGGGAACCTGCGCCGGATTTGCTCGATCCACGCGTCGTCTTCCTCAAGGAAAACAGTCCGGCCACCGTGGTTGAGGGAGCTCCACATGAGGCTGTCATGGCCCAGGCCAAAGACTAAGAAGTTGCAGGGTGATTTCTTTTCTAGAACTCTTTCTGTCACTGAGATTTCTTTGGATGTTTGTTGTGGGGTTATGGTTGAGGTTGAGTAATGGATGAGAGCTTTGGCTAAGGAAGGAGGGATCTTGTTGCAAGAAAGGGAACAATCTTCTTTTGTGCTGCCATTGTCATGATTTGAAGTTTCAAGGGTTAGAAAAGATGATGACGCCTTTGATGAACTTGGAGACATGGCTTGTTGGTTGGAAGGAGAGTAGTTTGGCCATAAAACTAAGATGAAGAAAAATGCTACCAAAAGCCCTAGAACCAGAAGCTTGACGTTGAGGGTTTGATGGGATTTAGGCCTCATACTTCAATACTACCTAATTACAGATTCCCAGAACTGGGTAAGAAATCTCAAGAGAAAGCAAGAATGAAGAAGAAGTTGAATGAGTTTTGGTATGGATGTGGAATGGGATTGATTTTGCAGAGAGGTCAAGTTATAAGGTAAAGGTTGGAGGAGAAGAAGAGGATGAGAGAGTGATTGATTAATTTCTGATGCTTGGACATGAAGAGAAGGAAAAATCATGCAGAGAGGATAATATATTTGACGCAGACAAAGGAGCTACCAGAATTTCTGATGAAGCAAAACGGTTGAGGTTGTTGGATCTGCAAGTTTGGTGAAGCTTCCATTTTATACTATGTCTGTAGTTTTGAGTTCTCACGTTAAAGTATTTATTTGTTGATCTGTGTTTTCCTTTGGCGTGGCTTACAAACAAAATCTAACTTGGGCTGAGATGAATGGGCGCAACAAGTCAAATTAAAATAATTAATAAACTTTGAACTTAAGCATTAAAAAAATTAACTTAATTGTGATTAATGAATAATGTTTGAATTTATATGGTGACAGTTGAAGAGTAGTTTTATTCATATTTCCTAAAAATTAATTGTAATAACTAAAATCTAAATTTTTGACATTCTCACGAATGGTATTAATACTACTCGCACTTGTGTTATTGGATCCTTCTTTTCCCACCATATATGTGTATGAAGATATTCTATATATTCATAAATTTATATAAATGATTCATTATGATTATAATAAAAGAAGTTTGGTATTCTTTAATGAGAATTTGCGTTGAATTCTAAATTAAGATTTTGATCTTCAGTCTTTTGGTTTTTAATTTAATCCTTACTTTACATTGTTTAAAAATTTTATTAAAAATTGAAAATTTAATGATGATTATATGTGGCTGTATATTTTTTTTATATTAATGAAATGGAATTTATCCTGAGAAAAAAAAATCTCATCAGATTAAAAGAAATACTTAGTTTGATCTAAACCAAATATTTAAATATCCCTTCGCACGGTGACTAACGAACAAAATATAAATTACAATATAAGATAAAACACATGCTCTGCCTCAGTTAAAATAATTTCTAATTTAATCTTGTGCAGTAAAACCCTTTCAGGAAGTTTACGGTGTGAGTGAATTAGTCACCGCAGTGAATAATGTGGACTTAACCAAAAAAAAAAAAGAATTTCCAATCCACTTTGTTTTTTGTTAATAGTAAGTTCACTTCTTTTAATTACATGAAGAATGTTCAAAATCATTACACAGTCCATCCCTTTTACCATGAATTTAGCCTTTCATGTGGCTTTCTGCTGTGTTATGTGTACATTTGACTTTTTAACAAGGAAAAATGACATTCGAGGACACTTATTTTTCACTCATAAACAGAAAAAGAACATTTATATTCGTGAAAGAAATGTCAGCTGATTGAGCCCATTCTTTGGCACTCAGATAATCAAATGTTAATAATATTGAATTAAATTAAAGTATTAAATAATATTAATAAATATTATATCAATAATAATGTTACTCATTCATCAATTTTTATTCTGGAACACATGCATATTATCACAGCATACAAATGAAATTGCGGGATTGACGAGACGCATACACAGTACAGTACACATTGTCAAATTTGAATAACCAGGTTGAAGAAAAAAAAATGAAGGGAAAAAAGTAGAGTAATTAATATGGAAATGAAACAAGGCAAATCACTATGAGATATCAAAGAAACTAGAAATTTCTTCCATGCACGAGCTTGATTAAATTTTAAATTTTAATAAACTGTATCACCTAAAGTAGTTTAAGATTCACTTTTTATAGAAGTGTGATTTTTTTTATTCATTTAAATAAGATTTGAATTAGAGATTGAGAAATTAGAAGAATCATATGAGAATTTAAATTTATTTATTTATTTCTCCATTTAAACCCCTAAGGCCGTAATTGACATACTATTTTAATTATGATGCTTCCCATTTAATATATTCAAATTCTAATTAAGATATTATTCAAATTTAAAATTAATTATTAATTTCTTCATTTGAGATTTCAATTGAAATCTCATTTAATAATGATGCCTCTCATTTAATTCAATATACCCAAATTTTAATTAAAATATTATTCAAATCTTATTAATTGAATATAGTCGGATATCATAATATTATATTCGACCCGTTTTCAAGAATATAGTTGATAATATAATATTCCTCCGATCCTTAATATAGGATCCAATTATTAAGTTAGTTTTGGTCCTAAATATAAAACACATTTCTTATATTTATTAATTTTTTCCAAATTACCCCTATGATACTCTCCCAACTATAATCAAGTAAAAGAGGAAATGGGGTATTAAGAAACATGATTATGGTATTTTAGAAAAAACGTGTCACATTTCTTATACTTAACTGACTTATCTAACTTCCTTAATCTAATCAAATTAGTTAAATGAGTTTTATATTAAGAATCGGGAGGAGTAACTAAAAATCCTAATTAATAACAAGTGGGTAGCATGAATCTTCTTGTCATTTTCTATACCAGAAATTGTCCTTTGTTTATTATGAGATTTTTTAGTAATTAAATTCTTTTTTTTAAGACCCATAGTAATTTTCCCATGAAACAATTGGTCCAAACGTGTCAATGGTAACTTTGAACTACAGGAACAACTATCATATATGGTGAACAGCGACCTTACAAATCATTAAATCTAAGAAAAGACACTACTCATCTTCCTAAAAGCATCATAACTTTGTACATCTATAATGGTAGATTTCAACCCATAAACATTTACAATTAATTGAGTGAGGGATCTAGCCAGAAGGACACAAGTACATATAAGTAATGCTATGGACCCAATAAATCATATCAGAGTCCAACAAGGTTGGAATAAATTTTACTATACATTTATATAGTAATCATGCATGGAGTTAAGTTATTCTAATTACTAAGTCTTGACCTTTTTATGATCCAAACCACCTTTACGTAAGACTTTTTGGATTTGTTGTTCATGTTGCTTCAACATCTCTTCCAGGTTCTCTGTTGCAGACACCAACGGTCCTGAATATTGCGTCTTCCCATTCTTCCCTCCATAATCCTACATGTCTCATCATAAACCCCAAAACCTTCTTATTTATTTATTCTCTAAATCATAGTACTTCCATATAGACATTTATGATCCCATGTTATAAATTACGCACCTTGGTCAGAGGTTTGTTGAGACCAGACTTGTTGGATGCAGGCAGCAAGAGGTCGGATTCTCCGGCGGCCGCATGTCGATACCTCTCGCCGAACCCGTTGTCTCCCCACACGGAGGAGTTTGCTCCGCCGGCGATCACGTCGAGCCGTGAGCCGCCGTCGGCGGCCACGGAGTTAGAGAACTTGGAGAGACGTGCGGCATTGGCGGCGTTCCAGTAGGTTCTCTGCTTTGATCTCCTGGTTCCAACAAACACCTCGTGCTCTCCGCCGGCGGCTTCATGCTTCATGACTTTCATGTACGCACTCTGCACCGTGGATTGGCCGGAATGACACAGTACTCTGGGTCCTCTCGTGCTTGCAGGTTCAATGAGCAGCCCATTCTTCTCCAGCCTGCGCTTTGGCCTTGGCCCCGCTCGATTCTACCCATTAACAAAAACTTAAATGTCATGTGCAAGGAAACTTTATATATATATATATATAAAAGGAGTAATATATGTGTATATACATTGTTGTTATTATTCTCATTTATAGGGATCTATATATGAAAAGCATGCGTTCACTAAAATGTGTTTGTTAAAGAAGGAGAAGAAGATACCTCAGTGGCTGCTGAAAGGTGGCACTTTGTTTCGGGTGGTGGGGCAGCTTTAGGGTTGGCAGAGCTCTTCACGGGTTCTTGTTCATTTCCTTTCCTCGTTGCCCCTTTCCTTCTGTTGCAAATCATACCAAATTCGTAAAATGTAATTACATTCATCCAAAAATATATTCATTTGGGAGAAAAAAATGTTAGGCTCAAAAGCAACATTTTCTAAAATCTTAAAACGCTTAATAATTATATAATATTTTTTCACATAATATCAAGTCAAAAATTAATTTAAAATTTTGAATAGAACTGAAAATTGAAATCTTAAAATGTCTGCATAATATTTAAAAAGTTTAACTTATTACATGAGGTATATTATGGAAAATAATCTTATAAAATCAAACATTTATAAAAAAAAAATTAGGGGAGAAAACAAAAAGAATCATATAATAAGGCTCCATGAACAACACATTGTTGGCGACCATGCTTTCATATCTTATATTCTAATGCAAGCTACAATATTTGAGAATGATTAATTTGATCAGCTCCATTATTGGAATGTAAGTTTACCAAAAATTCCCCATTTGTGAAAATGTAAAGTGAATATGATAAGAAGTAAGAACGCAAGGTAAATGATTTCGAGATGGAATGACATTGGCATATGTACCTTCGGGCTTCCTCTTCTCGAAGCTTCACATTAAACTCCTTACTTGGTGGATACCTCGGCAAACTCGATGGCTCACAAGGAAGTGGCTTTGTCGTGAAGAACTACACAAGAGAATAGAACCCTCAGTCACCCAGCCAAAAGGAAACTATAACCAAATCTGGATTCGGCCTGAGAAATTTGTCAACTTCATTGTAACATGAACTTGGTACTAGCACTAGAACTCTATGAACTGAACAAAATTTATGTCCAAGGCACAAAGTATTAGTAGCACTGGGACTTTATGAACTCCAGAAGTTGAAACTTGAGAGGATCCGGCTTGTGTTGTAACCAACTACAATCATTTGATTGAAAGAGAAGTTATATATATATATATATATATATATATATATATAGATAATTACCTCGCTCTGAAGTGCTGAGGAAGCAGTTCCTCGATCGTCAGGTTCTATAGCAAGAAGAACGTCGAGAAGTTTGAGGGCAGAGGGTGGGAAATCCTTGAACGTCTCTGCAACAACGCGCTGGTAAGGTTGTTGAGGTTTGAAAATGGTGGCATGTGGCAGCTTCGACTTCTTCCAGTATTTCTCAGACGGTGATCCACAAAGTTTAAATATCTTATGAAGTTGCTCTACCTGTATATTAAGCAACATTATTCACAATTTCTGAACTAACACTAGCCAAAAAAAGTTCTTTTAGACTGGTTCTCGAATCAATTTAGATAGGATCGGTTTGAAAAGTCAGCTACCTTTTAGACCAGTTTATAGTCATTTCTTAGTAAAAGATGTGATTGTGTACCTCGGTACGACCGGGCATGATGGGCTTGCCCGCGAAGAGCTCTGCAAGAATGCAACCAGCGCTCCACAGGTCAACAGCAACGCCGTAATTGGTGGCTCCTAGTAATAGTTCAGGAGATCTGTACCACAAGGTTACGACTCTGCTCGTCAATGCTTGGCCTTCCAACAGGGTGGCTAGCCCAAAATCTGCAATTTTCAAATTGCCCTTGTAGTCTATTAGCAAATTTGCTCCTTTTATGTCTCTGTGTAGCACCCCCTTCTTGTGACAATGCTCTAACCCTCTCAATAGTTGCTGCATGTAGCACTTTATCTGCACCACCACCACATAACGCCAAACATCACTCTTTTCAACTCAGTCTATTGTTATGTGGGTATATAATAAAGATATTTACGGCCTCGAGCCAGACTGGGAATTTATTTTATTCTTAAATATAAGACTTTAATTTACTTTGTCTTACAAATTTGTAATTTTTTTCTTAAAAATATGTTTATAGATTGCACATGTTAAGAGATTCCATCAAAGATAGGTCCCAGTGCGCATGATTAGTAGTGGCATTTTAAGGAAGCCAACATATATTTATAATAAATAACTAACTTAACTAAATTTTTTTTAATATCTGTAAATTACTTATTTAACTCTTATATTAAAAATCAAAAGTGGTACTACATTACACTATTCATGAGTCATAAGTCTCATGCAACATGAACTTGCTCAAAACATGTTGCAGGCAACTTGGACTTGGTTGGATGCGTTTGACTGAGAGCGTCGGTTTACACAGCATTGAATTAGGAAATGAAGTACCTGCTCCTCTGAAAACTTGATACCAGGAAGAGCTGAGAGGCCTGTGAGATCATGTTCCATATATTCAAAAATAAGGTACAAGCTGCCAGAAACCCTTGAGGTAATCATTCCTTCAAGCTTCATCACATTTGGATGATCAAGCCTTCGCAGTATAATGATTTCTCTGGCCATGAAACGAACACTTTCTGGGTCCATATTTGCAAATCGAACCTTCTTTAATGCAACTGTCTTATTTGTTTCCAAATCTCTAGCTCTGTAAACGCTGCTATATGTCCCTTGTCCAATCTGCCATTACATTTACAACATCAATCTTAATCAACTCGAAGGATTAAGAATGTAATACTGATGCGTCAGAGGAATGAAATTACTTTACCTTCTCTAACTTCTCAAAGGATTCTGATCTACGTGGAATCCAACCACTAATGGCTTCTCCTGCAACAGCAGATAGCCATGAAGGCCACCCAGCGAGAACTTGGGCTCCTCTCTCTCCTCTTTTTATACTACCTATCCTATTTAACATCATCATCCTACTTGGTCCTTCTTCCACACTTCTACTTTGCGAATTCCCAGGTTTCCCTGTTGTCCCAACATTCTTCTCCCTCTCATCTGATGATATCAACCTTGTATTAACATCGTTTGATCCACTACATTCCTGTTGCATTGCAAGCTTTTGATCCCTCCTTGACGTACCCTTTGAGGATTTCTTTGTTTTCTGCACATGATTCTCTGCGACATAATCGTGTGAATGTGTCCCTCTAGAACATAAGCAGCCCATAATAATTATTCCAATTTATGGTAACTTAAGAGTTCCTCGAAGTGTTCTCGGTCAACCTTATTTCTTGTAATTCAGGGAAACGAGAGAATGCCCAAATCCCCAAATCAAAGAAAAGGTCAAATCGATTAATGGGGTTGACAAGCGAAACTTTCACATGTCGATATCATTACGAACAAGCCAATGTTTAATGAGGAAGAAGAATATGTCCAAATCAAAAGGGGAAAAACAACCGCCAATTTTGAGATATTCGGATTAAAAAAAATGACAGAAAGGGGAAAAAAACAAAACAGAAATCTGACAATCGCGAATCCACGAGCACCCGATAACCAACGAGAAAATTAAAATTAGGGCAATGAATGGAAGTGTGGATGAAGAAGAATGAAGAACGTTATCAAATCAGAAGCAAGAGATTCAGATCAAATAACGAAGGAAAAAAAATCTGGGAATCACAAATCTGACGAGGATGAGTGAGTTGGGTTCGATATTTTCTGCCAGGAAAGCAAATTTTGAAAGAGAAAATAGTTGAGAAGAAGTAACAACTAACTATATTCTATAAAAAAGAGAAGTTGTCAAAAGGAATAGAGAGAGATTTTCGGATCTGAATGACCTCACAAAACTGAAGAGGCCGAGAATCTCTGGTTTGGGAAACCGTTCTGAAACAGGGGAACACAGAAACAGAGTAGGCGGGAAATATTTTGTTGGCGGGTACATTCCCACTCTCTCCCCCTTTATATAGTACTCTTTTTGTCCTTAATATAAGACCTATTTAACTAATTTGATTAGATTAAGGAAATTAGGTAAGTTAGCTAATTATAAGAAAAGTGACACATTGTCCCTAAAATACTATAATCATCTTTCTTAATACATATTCATCTTTCTTAATACTCCTTACCCTTCTTCTACTTGATTATAGTTGAGGGAGTATCCATAGGGGTAATTTAGAGAAAATTGATAAATATGATAAATGGGTCTTATATTTAGGACCAAAATCAACTCAAGAATTGGGTCCTATATTAAGGACCGGAGGAGTATTATTTATTTACTTCTGAATTTTATTGTATATATAATTTTTTTATAGAAAATTATATTTTTATTTTGTTCAGCGGGAAGGTTATTATCTAGCCTTACTGTTGATGATCATATGACTTTTAATTGGCCTAGAAAAATTCCTAAGAAAATTCAAGTTTTAAATTTATAATATGAATTAACCTTAAAAAAAGACAATTAGTGAAAAAACTTAAATTATGAATAAGTAATATATTTATGGTGACAAGTAAAATTTGTTGTATGTAGATATACTGGTTATATACTCGTTATGTTTTAATGAAAATAAAATACTTTCAATGTTCTAATTGAATAATATAATAAAGAATTGAAAATATCTATCTAAAATAATATATGTTTCAAAAAATATTATCTCATTATTTTTCAAAATATTCAATTTTTGGGCTAAAAAAATTTCCAATTTTGAAGGAAAAAGCGAGGAAGTCACATAGTTTGCCAATGTTAAGGGACTGAAGAACCAGTTTTATCAGTTTGAGGAAAAAAAGGGGGGCTTAGGTACTTATTAACTTGACTCATCGAGTTATATAATTATAATCGGAATAAAAAAGTTATAGACGTCTCTAAATTTTTTAATAAGTTATTTTTATATTAATTTCCAAATCAGTGTAAAAAGTTACATGTAACTATTGAAAATTTTCTACCAAATAGTTCAGCAATGGATTATTTGAACCCCAGATTGGGTGTGAGCTGTTTCTAGTTATTTTATTTCCTAGCGTGTATCGAGTTTTCTTCTTTTTTCTGATAATTTTGCTTTGACAAATGACAAGTCTTAATAATGTTTGAGCCATTTTTGCCTAGGAGCACTTGATGGTAGATTCTAAGTATATTAGATTTGTTTAGAGGGTTAAGTTTAGAAGTTGTTTTCTCACAATAAAATAAATTAATATTCAAATTTTTATTTAGAAAGATATTTATAGAAAAAATAACAAAAAAAGACCGCCAAAATAAAAAAAAATTACACATAAAGACCGATTTGTAAATGTTAAAACCTATATTATTATTGTCAAAATCTATACTAATATTGTTTTGGGTTCTTATTTTTTCTATTTTGATTATTTTTTTCATTTTTTTTATTAATATTTAGTGGCTGATACTGTTTCAAGCAGAATTACCTTCTAGCAAAAAAAAAATGATTTATTTCTTGAGAGTTAACTCGCACCGGAACTCCAGGTGGTGGGCCATCAGCTACTATTGCGGGATGTTTAAGAGACATTTAAAAAAAATAAAATAAAATCAAGCTCTGCAAAAAAAAAAACAAAAGACCAGGCCGCGCCCGCGCCCGCATGTGCCGGCCAGACACATGAATGGTAAAAGAAACGAAGGAAGAAACTACTGTGAACGCCGCCCCGCCATTGACACGTCGGATCAAGGAAACCCGAACCTGATGCGTTGATCTACGAACCGGCAGCTTCGGACGACACAGCTGGTGACAGCCTGTCACCAACAAAGTCCCACTCACCTATTCCCCTAACTACGTTCTCTCTGTCCCTCTGTCTCTCCTAGCTGCTCTCTCTCTCTCACACACCTTCCTCTCGCTGTCTGGTTCTGTGAGCAAATTAGGGTTTGTGTTCCTTCACCTTCTGATCTCATTCAGCGACCTTTGGATTCTTCCTTCGATTTCACCAGATCAAGATTCTCTGCACTGTAGGCTTCCTTTTGATCTTCTCCTAGTTCTGTTTCCTTCATGTCTTCACTTGCTTTTAGCCATTCGAATTGCCTTAAAATGGTTTTTCTTTTCTATATTCCTCGCATTCGCTTCTTTTCCTGTATATTTTGCTGTTGGTTTTGTCATTTTTGTTGAATGCATATATATTAATGTTCAGATTATGCACTTATTTGCTGTTTTAACTTATTAGACTTAAGTTTGGATTAAAATACGATCTAAGAGTTTGGCTTATACTTGTTTATGGAGAAAGCCCTGGTGAAGAAAAGAAGTCAAATTTGTAACTTTTTTCACCAAGCTTCAAAACTTTGAAGGACTCATTTTATTTGTCTTATCTCACTTTTTTCTAGCTGGTTTCGTACTGACCAAGGGTATTTATCATGGTTTGTTTGGGACGTTTCAACTAGTTGGCCGTTCATTTTTACTGAGTATAAAGTTCATGTTAAGTGAAAGAACCATGGAAAATGCCCGGTTTGAGCAGTAAAAGCTTGTCATGTTTGTATCCCTTTACTGGATAGCAGACACAGACCACCTTTTCGTTTTGAGTTTTTGGTTTTTAGAGTGGATATTTGACTGTTCTAGGATTAGGCTAAATTACGAAGAGCATTTTGAACTTTCAGTCATCTATGGGTGATTTTTTTTTTTTTTAACCTTCAAGGCGTGAACATGAACTTTCACACGTGTAATAACCCATGTTTTTTTCCAGTCGATTAAATTTGCAGTTATTTGTGGATAATTCTCAGGAGGTTATCTATAGAAAAATTCAAAGTTTATGCGAGTCTAGTGATAAATTTTGAAGATCAAGGGGTTATGTGCTCATGACCTAAAGTTTAGAAAGATTATATAGTATTTTGTCTTATGGTTAAGTTGACTAAGCTCTGAATTAGACGAGAGACTGAATCAATTTTTATCCTCAGCTTTCCATTGAAGTATTTGACTTCCATTGTTACTTATTATTTTCCCCCTGCTTTTTAGGTTCTCGGAGTGGATGGTCAATCCTTGAGACATTTTTGAGGTCGATGTTTTTCCCTCAGAGTCTCATGGCCTTGATGTGTGTCTGGAAGGATGCTACCTGATTGAGCAGGAATGTTTTATGGTCATCATTGTTGTGGAGTTATTGTTGTTATTTAATTTCAATTCAGCTACCACATGCAATTGGATAGAAGCCACAGCTACCTGAGGATTTCTTGAATCCATGCTGTCAGAGAGCATGCGTGGAATCTGTACTTTGGGTAATGCCCCTGACGAGATTAGCTGCCGATGCATTCGGTGTGGTGACCATTTGTCTCGTAGCCATCTTGACTCTTCTTGGTTTTCTATGCATTGTGTACTCAGTTTACTTTCGCTCTCGAATTTATCATCAAGGTTTTGCTCAACTCAATTATTTTAGTGGTCCTTGGATAATCAGAGTTGCATTCATCCTATTTGCAATTTGGTGGGGTGTTGGTGAGATTATTCGGCTAACTTATTTAAGACGCATCCTTCACCTAAAATGGCACGAAACTGTTTGCAAATGTTACATTATATCAAATCTGGGGTTTGCAGAACCATGCCTCTTCCTTACCCTTGTGTTTCTCCTCCGTGCACCTTTGCAGAAGTTGGAGACTGGGATTATGAGCCGAAAATGGAATTGGAATACAGCGGGATGTATTCTTCTTTACTGCCTCCCGGTGTTTATTCTTCAGCTCGTTGTTGTTTTAGTTGGACCTCAGTTAGACAAGAATAAGGGTTCTGGACAAACGTTGCCTCATATTTTTACTAGTACAGCTGCTAGATCTTCAGTGACATGGGATCAAGATATTGCCCTCTGTACTTACCCTTTACTCAGTACCATTCTTCTTGGCCTTTTTGCCATTATCCTGACTTCCTACCTTTTTTGGCTTGGAAGAAGGATTTTGAGACGAGTTATTAATAAGGGTTTGCAGAAGAGGGTTTATACATTAATATTCTCAGTTTCAGGCTTCCTTCCATTAAGGGTTCTTTTCCTTGGTTTATCTGTTTTATCTGGACCTGAGCAATTTACTTTTGAAGTTCTTGCTTTCTTGGCTTTTCTTGCCCTTGTATGTTGTGCTGGGGTTTGTATATGCATGCTTGTATATCGTCCAGTTGCAGATTGTTTAGCACTTGGGAATCTACAAGATCTAGAGGCTAGGAGGTTTATTGATGATCATAATGATTTTATGTCTCTCATTGCTAACCAGAGTCATCTGGAAGATTATGTGCAAGAAAATGTTGGTTCTAGTCCTGCTAGAGATTCTGATGCTTCAACAAAGCGGGGGTCCATTTCCTTCCGCACAGTGGAAAATGCTGGGTCATCAACAGGGCCATTTGTTGAGCTGAGCCTTTTCTCTCCCAGCAGAAATGCACATGGTCCAGGATCTCCATCGCTTCGAGGTTGGCCTATGCGACCCTCAACTCATGTTATTGGACCGTGAGCAGGCTAGAAACTGATTTACTGAGTGAATGCCTTCAATTTTGTGGAAAAGTAAAACATTGTAAAGGCTTTAGCTTCAATAAGGCTTTTTATTCTTGTTTTGTCTCCTAATTTTAGCTCATAATTTTTTTTTCCCCTGGAGTTTATTGTGAGTACTCCTTTTAATCCCTCTTGTGCCATCTATAATCTTTTATTTTGGCTCTCAAGTTTTTATTTACAATGTTTGAATGCTTTTTTTTTTTTTCCTGTAGCAGTAGCGGTGTATTCACCTGAGTTGGAATCTGTTGGGTGTCTATACTCGATAAATCTGGATAGAATTTATGTGTTGGACGAGGAATGTTCATTGTGATGGTATGCTGAGACTGAGCATTTTGTTGGATTCATTGTTATCAAAGTCAGGATTATTAAGTGCAGATATAGAAGAAACTTGTGTCATTTTACGTTTTCGCTGACTAGGCTTATCAGACCTAAATTTCTTGTGATTTCGGACGCTTGAAGGAGACTTGAATATTTATTTTGTGCGCTTGGCCTAGCCACCTTGAACTTCTGGATTCTAGGTGAAGGAGCGCTTTTTGGAATAACAGAATTGGAAGGGCGGACTTGATTTAAAAAATCGCAGAAGCAGGGTGAAAATTTTTTAATTAATTTTTCTTGCTCCCCCCCCCCCCAAAAAAAAAAAATCTCATATCTTCTGCTTCTATTATGAAGTTTTGTGATGCCTGATTAAGGCAAAACGGGTTGGGCGGGTTAGTAGGACTATTCATGCTATAATGGGCTTTTATGGATTATCATAATCGTGGCTGTCTGGCTCCTACGTACTCTCCTAGTGGATTCTCAGTCCTCCCCCCGTCGTCTATGGCTCTCCAAGGTACTACTGCCATTTTCGTGATGCATGAATCTTCCAGCATCGTCTCTCGTACCCCCCTCGGGAAGCGATTCTTCTGGTACTACCCTTGTCGATGCATGTGGGTTTTCACCTCCATTCTAGTCTTGTCGCCTAACATCATCTGCCTTTCCTGTGTTGTGAAACATTTTATATAGGACTCCTATTTTTACCATGCTCAGAGCCTTCAAGCTGCACCCTACCCCTAAATGTGGTTAGATTCATGTGTGCTCCTGGATTGACCGATCTTGATATTTTCAAATTTGCGTTGTATATGATGAATATTCTCATTTTTGTCGCTTTAAATTTGAGATTCTTATATGAAAATTATTATCCCCAAATCTCTACCATAGTTTTGGGTCGTTCCTTTAAGGTTTCTAAATCATATTGCAATTTCTTAAATTGAGTATTACATCACCTGCTACAATTTCTAGATAGATATTTCCCCATTTTTGGTTTTTTTTTTCATTGATTTTTCCCCATGTTAGTTAATCATTTTTTGTTTCATATACATTATACATATATTTTTAAATATTATGCAAGATATTCATATAATATATATATACACTTTGAATTATATGTAAACAATTTGGCCAAACAAATTAGATGTAAAATATAATTTACATATTTTATGTATTTTGCATTTATATGTATGTCCATGATGGTTATTTGTGTCTCTGTTATATTATATATATATTTGATCCGTATAAAATTTCACATGTATTTTGTAAGAAACATAAACTATAATGTATGTTTTTCCTCTGTGTTAAGTTTTTTAAAATTTAGCTTTTTTATACTGCATGGAATGAATCTGTCAAAAACCATCCTCCCATTCAAAATAATCAGACGACAATTCTTGTTTATCGTCTTTTTTGCGATGACCATCAACAAGAGTCAAGGCCAGTCATCAACCAACGTCAGTTTGTACCTGCCCAGTCGGTGTTCACACATGGACAGTTGTTTGTCTCATTGTCAAGGGTCAAGAATATGGACGATCTCAAATATTAATCCTCGATTCTAACAGCAAACTCACAAACATTACTTGAAAGGTGGTCTATGGGAAGTCTTCCAGAATGTGAATTTAGAATGACCTCATTCTTACCATCATGGCCGGCTGTTGTCTTCACACTATTAGTATGAGAACTTTCTTTGTTAAAATTACATAATACTATCTTGTGATGCATTGTAATAGAATGAGAATTATTTATATTTAAGCATCTCACATGATAGTTTTTCCTCTTCACCTCCCCTATTACGCTTGAATTAATCAAATAGAATAATGCATACTTAACAAAGAGCCTCCATAAACAATAATTGCACGGGGAAAAGATCCTATCGGACGGTCTTCCCCCAACATTACTCGTAGTGTGGTATATTGGGAGGTCTTCCAAAATGTCCGTTCAGAGTGACTACATCATTCAATTCATGAGATGCCTTTCAACTTCATATTATCAACATGACAGCTACCATAATTACATTACATTTAGAACTCTGACTCTAGGATTAACTTACATTTATGCATTTCAGGCAACTAGATAACCATCTTCACCTCTTATATAACTTACACCTAAACAAGCACAATAATACATAACCTGCGAAAAAATTACATGCACCACAATGATCCATGCAACGCACGGGTAGAAGATCCTAGTTTTTTATCAAAATTTTATAACTCATTTTTTTAATTTTTTAAATTGACTTGTTAAAATTTTTTTTAAAACCAAACGAAGGCATGTAATAATTTTTTCAAATAAAGTCATGTAACGGTTGTGGCTAATGGCATGGGGTTGGTAGAGAGATGATAGCATCTGCCTAGAGGATTGCGGTGGGAGATTACAAAATCTGATACAATCAAACTTAGTGTGGAACTTACCTCATAAAAATGTAATGAAATATGCAGAGGCGAGTGAATTTTTCAAATAGATTACCCTATGATGAATACGATCAAATGGACTGAGTTTTTGGCGATATGCTTTCCCGCTACTGGGAAAATTTTATTATTTTGAAACACTTCCAAGACCTATTCATAATTATGCGGGGGAATAAATCCGAATATATAGTTTCTATGGGCTTCTACATAATTCAAATAGCATAAGAACAATATTACGTTACTCGTGCCCTAAAATTTAGCAATGGAAAAAAACAGGAACAGATATTCAAAATGTACCCCCCTTGAACATTTTAAATTGGAGTCAATCAGTTGCCCAAGAACTCAACGGCTGAAAAGAAAAATTGCTCCAAAGCAAAAAAATTTATAGCTTCTCTCGCAACATAGTGATCACACTCATTGTATAAATAGGCCAGAGCAAAAGAGGTGGTAAAGTGCAGGACCAAAATCTGGCATCTGTATGATGCAGGTAACTTTTATTGTACAAATACATAACCAACTGTAAAACAAGATATATATGTGGATGAACTGATGCCATAAATTAACTGTTGTCAAAGCAAGCTCAATCATCGACTTCAGCTTTAATTTCTCTCAGCAATTCGTCCTTGTAATCCTCAAAAGTTCCATCAAAGAATTTGACGGTACCATCCTCAACTACCCATATTTGACTCCTCTCTTCATCATCACATACACGCGATATCAATCTAGAATCATGACTAACAAGAACAACTCCACCAGTGAATTCATCCAATGCATCAGCTAACGCATCAATACTTTGCATGTCTAGATGATTAGTAGGTTCATCCAACAGCAAAATGTGGGGCTTTGACATGGATATTGAGGTGAATACCACCCGAGCTTTCTGCCCTCCTGATAGTTTGACAATAGGGGTAAGATGATTATGACTAGGCAATCCAAACTTGCCAAGTTTTGCTCGAACAGCCTCCTGCTTACTGAGTCCTTCCTGATCTGGATGAAGACGAAGAAGATACTGGACAGGTGTTTCATCCATTGTTAGGAGGTCCACAAAGTGCTGGGAATATCTTCCGATCCTCAATTTCTGACTTCTTCGAACTTCACCCTCAGTTGGAGACAAGTCACCCGCAAGAAGATTCAGCAGTCACCCGCAAGAAGATTCAGCAGTGTCGATTTCCCGCTCCATTAGGCCCAACAATGGCGACACGAGTCCCCATATCAATGCCAACATCAACATTTGAGAGTCTGAAATCTGGCCGCTTTGGATAGCTGAAGCTCACTTCAATGAGCTGCAGCAAAGGAGGTGTTAGTTCAGTAGGTTCAGGGAAGTGAAACTCAACACTGTAATCCCTCCACTTTTGTGGAACATCTGCTGGGGTATCATCCTCATCAACCTTGCCCTTGCCTTTACCCTTGCTTTTTGCTGCTTCCTTAGCAGCTGCAAACTTAGCTCGATCCTTCACCTTTTCCTGCTGAACCCGATTTCCACTTCTTTTGGCTGCTTTCATTTGCTTATCATAAATCTCAAACTTCTTATTCATCTCTTTGCGGCGCTGCTCATAACCACTTTCAAAATCATCAAAATTTCCACGGTAGATATAAAGTTTCAGATCATGCAGATGAATAATCTCATTACAAACTGTATTTAGGAAATCCCTATCATGTGAAACGACCACCAAAGTCTTCTTCCAACGGCACAAGTACTCCTCCAACCAGAGAACAGCTCTCAGGTCAAGATGATTTGTTGGTTCATCAAGCAATAATAGAGTTGGCTGAACAAAAAGCGCTCTGGCTAAAGAAATTCTCATCCTCCAACCCCCACTAAATGATTTTGTAGCGCGGGCCTGCATATCCTTTGTAAAACCTAATCCTGCTAGAATCTTTGATGCCTGAGCTTCAGCTGCATCAGATCCCATCAACTGTAACTTCTCATACAGCTCAGCAAGCTTCTCTCCTGCATCATCTTCATAACCATCATCCTTGTCTCCACTTTCATCAACAGAACTTGCATTTTGAAGAAGAGCCACTTCTTGTCGGGTTTTAACAAGTTCTTCATTAGCTGAAACAACAGCTTCAAGCGCCGTTTTATCATCACCAACAACCTCCTGCTCAACCAGAAGCACATCAATATTCTTTGGCACTGGTATCTTCCTCCAGGCAAGGAGCTTCAACAGTGTGGACTTACCCTTTCCATTGGGCCCAACTAAACCATACCTCTTCCCATGAGATATCTTCACTGATGCATTCTTAAGGAGTTCTTTACCCCGAGCTGACACAGAAAAGTTCTCTATTGTCACATCCTTCACATTGGCATCAGTGTCATTTTCTCCATCAAGCACTGAAGTCCGGCTTCCAATGACCACAGTAAAAGCATCACGGTCATCCCTAAGTGCTTCCTGTTTCGCCAACTCTGCAGCATGAGCAGCTAGAAGATCCTTCTTTTCCCGCTTTTTTACCTCTTTGTCAGTGACAGACACCTCAAGAGGCTTTAAGTCAGGCCTTTGCTGCTGAGTGGACCGCTTAGGTGCACTATCTTGTTCTTCCTCCTCTTCCATGACATCATCTTCTTCATCATCAGAGGGAGGAAGATCAATACCATCGGTGTATGTAGAAACTTTTGGAGCAGATTTTGCCTTGGGCTTACTGGATGAAGATGCTTTCTTGGGTTTATCAGGTTTTTCATCCATACTAGCAAGCATGGCAGAGACAGAGAACTTTTCTTTCTTAGCCTTTGCAGCAGCGCCGGCTTCCTCTGTCTTTTTCCTTCCCATTGCAAAAATCTGATACAAGGAAGCAGAATCCACATAAGTTTATTTTAAAATTGTTAACTACACTACTGCCAAAGAAGAAGAAAATAGGAATTCACAATCACATTAAGGTTCCAAAACATTCAAACCCCATGGAAAGATCACAGCAGAAAATAGCTAAAGATCATTTTACCCTTCCATTAAAAGGTACATGCACCATATATACGTCAAAAAGGATAGATATGATCATGATATCAAGAAGCTGAACTGATCAAATAGGAATTAATATTAAAATGAAAGTTCAACTAAAATGGATATTACTAACAGGGTCAGCATATTCACAAAGCATCATATGAAAAATGCCTCTTAAAGAATCAACAGACTACAGTAACATTGTCGTTCTTCAATAATTTTTCCAAATCAATAACATGATCCATTCAACCTAGAATATACTTCTCATATTTGGCCATCCATTGACCACATGCTCCGTCAAAGGAACCATGCAGTAGTACTAATTTCACTCTATCATAGTTTACCAAAATAAAACAGGATCATGAACATAATATGCAGGTAAATGAAAGAAACAATATTAATTGGGAGTCAAACATGCATCACAAATAATCACAATAAATTAGAATCTTCAAAGTGTTGATTTTAAAATACAGATTCTAGCGAAGTTGAAAAATTACAAACCCACCTGACGGAAATAACAAAGAAGAGACTGCAACATGAAAAATGCAGAGAGGCATGATGAAAATCATGACTATAATAAAATGAAACCCCAAGGCTACATATGGGGAAAAAAAAAGTCACTGCCACAGTTAATTTTTTAATAGTTTGCACTGGAATTATAGTAGTTGTTTCACCATAATTAATGAGACATATAAAATAGGCAGATTGAGAGACAGCTAAGTTGAAAAAATAATTAGATACCCAGAATCAAAAAGTACATTAGATGGAAACTTCAAAATAAAATGACATAAAAGAAACCATAAATCTGAACCACCATGAATAATGAATTATAAAACCACAGTTCATAGACTATGAAATTGACACGATGCAACTTCTAATGTTTCATTATCAACTATCAAAATAAAAGCAAAACCACAGCATGCTAGCCAACCTTCACAGATCACAGAGTGTCACCGTAGTCAGAAAAGCAAAGAGAGCAACAGATGGAAGAAAATAGAGACCAAAAGGTATGATAGAGAAGTCGCTAGAGATGCATAAGAAAAAAATATCACAGGTGGTTGAACTAGATTACAAGCTGACCTCGGTAACAGACCCTAGATCAGAAAACAAAACTAACTTCACGCTGATTTACAAGCACAAAAAGGAGAGGTAAATCAGACATTGATTTCTCTCTTAACTTGATAAGAGTACAAGCACCACCATAATTAAGAGATAAAATTAAGAGAACTAAAACACTTCAAGGGTGAAGCCAAAGTTGAGTGCCCAATACTCGGTTTAAGCTCCAGTGTGGTCAACAGAAAACAACCAGTCAACAATGAAAACAAGTAATCAACGATCAGACACAAAATATTATCAAATATAAGTGTTAACAGACTTAGAGATAGTTTGCTTTCGTAAAAATCACCCTCCCACGGAACAGTTGAAGAGCCCTGAACTAGAGCACGCTTACCTACAGTCAAACCTGATCCCATCTTTGCAGTGTGGATAATAATCGATCAAAACAATAAAAGGCCTAATATCTGGCCAACTACTAACCTCGTATAAACAATAGATTCACGGCCTCAAGCTGGAAAAATCTTAAGGTTTTGACATGCTATCCCAACCTTGGTGGACCAAAATTAATTAGGGAAAATAACAAGCAGCTCGACTAGAGATTCAACAAGAACAGCCCAAGAGATCAACGAAACATCTCATGCGCATCTTCACAAGTAACAAACATCTCATATGCGTCTTCAAATTTATTCACAAACAATCACTATAACCACAATTTAGTGTAAAATTACAGAACTTCCAAGTTTTATCGTTATCCAAGATTTGCATCATAATCATACGGAACAGGATTTCAATTCTTCTTCACCATCAAGATAGTTTAGAAATATACTTTCAATTAAGTCTCTTCTCTACCAAACGTTCCATCAAACACCTAGTGGGCACACAAGATTGTCTCAAATCCCTAACTGGGATTATGATACTTCAATCCTCTCTAGCTGTTCATTTTAACTCAATTCCACTAATAAACATTTTACCAGACAAAGACCATACATACAAATGAAATTAGCAAAACAAGTCTCTCTCTGTGTTTCTTTCAATCCTCTGACTTATTTTGAATTCTAGTCTCCTTCCTAGATTCACCCACAGCAGCCACCAAAGCTACAATTGCAGCAACGAAGGGAAGAAGAAAAGATTTGTTACAGAACACCCATACTCAATGAACAGATTGGATGAAGACCGAATCAAAGGGACACATTCAAGGAAATAAGCTTACAATCACCACAACGTCGGTTGAGGAGAAGAGAGGATCACGCCGGACAGAGGAGGAAAACAAGCAGCAACCCGAGAACCTGAGCAGAGGAGAAAGGTGACGGCGGTGGCCCCTGGCAGACGCACCGGCGATGGCAAGGAGACCAGCAAACGACGGAGAGGAGCGTTGGAGCTGTTGAAGAAAGCGCTAGGGATTTCTGATCCCCGAGCTAGTTAGCAACTGACCCGAACCCCTGCGCGCCGCCCAAGCCTGGGTTATTTTATTTAGTTAGAAGGGCTTTAAGGTAATTTCAGATTATCAGCAAAATTTTAAAAGGAAATATCCATTTCCACCCAAAGGATTTCCGCCTTCCGTTGTGAAAGGGCTAGTTGTGTGAGGGCCTGATTAAGCAGAGAGAGGGATAAAATAGGAATATTACAAAACTCTAGTGGACATTTTAATAAAAAAGGTTCAAGGCGTTTCCTCTTGTTTTATTTTCTTCCAAGCTTTGGCAACCAAATAGTGTCAGAAAATTTATATTTAAATAAATTTAAATTTAATTGAAGTTATTTAAATTTTAATCTAACCTAAACTAACAAAAATATATACTCTTATGAAGCTGTGAAACCAAAAAACTATAATCTGAAATTTTTATTATAAAATAAAAATAAATTCTTTCACATGGTGAAAAAAATAGCCTGAGTTAGATATATTTTCCCTTTTTAAAAATTTCGTATTTGTAGATCGGTTTTCTTGAGACATGAGCTATATGTGTGTGTGTGTCTCCTCATATTTTAACTTCTGTTCTAAGGCCTATTAGGTGCCGGGTAATATTATAAACATATTTTTGTTAAACACGCAATGTCTGTTATATGTGTGTCCATGCGAAAATCTCTGTTTCCTTTGTTACCTCTACCTCGCGTATTTTCAAGATGATATATCCGATCCAGTTATTCACATTGTCCCTATCAAATGTAACATTTTGATCATTAGAATACAATCACTTATTGATTACTGTTAAATAAATCTTACCCAATTTTTATATTAAAAAAATGAGAGAATGATAAAAAAAGAAACCTGAAATTACAAAACACAACTTTATTTGATATTGAAAAGTCTGAATTTGCAAATGACAGCAAATTTTTGTTGACATTCTTTATTTGGCATATGCAAAATTCCAGCTTCTTTTTTTGTCATTATCCCTAAAAATATTTAGCTTTCATATAAGGTTATGTTTGACATGCAGATTTAAATTTTAATGGATTGGGATGGGATTGACATTAGGGTTGGGAATAAAGCTTTAAAATTATGTTTGTTGTGAAGTAATATTTCTGGGCACTGATTTTATTAATTTTGTTTTATAAATAATTATTAATACAGTACCCTACTCTCTTTTAACTCCAAACTTCAAAACCATCCATGATGTTCTAAACTTCACCTCCCTTCACCCTTCTCTTTCACAGATACAATCTTTTGAAGCATCACCCACCTTTGCCCTCCATTTTCACAAATCCTAAGAACTTCGCCTTTAATTGAGGATGGTGATTTCTCTTGACTTGGTTATGGCAATCCGTGAAGACGACCCATCTTCGATTTGACTGCTTCAAGCTCATGATTTTATGCAAATATGGGTCTACGATTCCTATTTTTGTTTCCTATTTCTTGTTGGTTTCTAATTTCTAGTTCTATATTCTCCTTTTTCATTTTTCTTGTTGGTGTTGCTTCCTCTTTGCTTCTGTCTCACTAAAGGGAAGACCCTTTTTTGTCTGCTACCATTGCTTCAAAGACATCACCACTTGCCAGATCTGATTCAAAGGTTGAAGATGAGGAGGTCGGAGGAAGGACGTCGCATATCGGTGGAAGACATCATTGATAAGGGAGGACGGAGATAAGAGTGATGGCAAGGAAAGGGCATGGAGTGAGGGGCAATTTTGTCTGCAAAATATCAATCCTAGGACTGATTTCCAATACCAAGGGGTTGGGCGGTATTGAGCAGTCGCATGAAAGGTCGGATTGTGCAACCCCATGATTACTAGTATCCTTCTACCAAACATAGTAAAATAAGCAATCCCACTAAGGTTCTATGCTAAAATCCTTTCGGTATAGGAGTTTATCTGTAAGGTTTTATATTTAATCTTTTTTTTTAAAGAAATTTTCAGTGATGGCTTCAAAATAATAATATTGCAAGGTCTCAAAATATATCCATTGCCATTTGGAAAGAAAGCATTATTCTGTTGAATCCTAGACGCAGCAAAGAATTAGGCTTTCAATTCTAAATCAGATAATTCTGAGGAAAAGAGAATAATACAAGAATCTGTTAGATGTGGCATGACAATAACTTAGACAGTATGTATATTGAACTTTGACAGCATCAGTACAGGCATTAATATTTGTTATATATGCAGCTCCAAGATCAGGTAATTCTGCAAAATTCTCCTAACTTTCTCAAAACGCGGGGTTTGGTTTGTGGGTTGCATTGTACACTTTCTTGGTATGAACGTATGATGCTTGCAACAAAGTCGATTTGTGGTATTAGTTATGATCTGGTATAATATTTAAGACAAAAATTGGTCTCGGGAGTTTTTTTTTTCCAAGTCATAAGTTAAGAGGAAAATTACAACGAGGTCCTAATGAAAGAAAAGTCTAAATAATGAGTGAGTATTTGTTATTTACTACCCTAAAACTTGTTATTGCAGAGTGTTTTGTTATCATTAGAACTTTTCAATAATTATGTTAATTAATATGTCATGTCAACTTTTAAGATGAAAGTAAATGACAAAGTGAGCTCTTAAAAATGTATTCAAAAAGACATCTTCAAAACTTATTGATTTTATTTGAAAAATTTATGTGAGGAATGCAAAACTATACATATGTTGATCCTTAATATAAGAGCTGTTTCAATAATTTAAGTAAGTTAAAGAAGTTAGATAAATTATTTGGTTATAACAAATATGACTTGATAAATTACTTGATTATAACATATATGACTTAATTGCCCTAGAATACCTATGCATAACATTAAATTACATATAACTTTTAAAGTTAAGTAAATTAGCTTTAAAAAATCATAAATATTAAAATAAAATGGATAGAAGTCATATATTCATATACCAACCTCCTAAATCTTAACTAGTTCTTATAATTAAGATCAGAGAAATATACTTTCATGGCCAAGAGTAGAAAAAAATATATTCATGTAATACATGAGCATCAGTTTGGGTATAATCTTATAAGCAATAGAAATAAATTTTAGTGTCAAAGAGAAGGAATACAATGTCGCTTGAATCACTTTCTTCACTTAAAAATTCCTCCTTTCCCGTAAATGACTCAACATATCAAGCTCTAGGTCGATTTGAAAAAAATCAATATAAATAATAAATAAAAATCACTTATAAGTCGAGCCATATTTTCATTTTCAACAACTCTTCAATGAAATTACTGTACTATGAACAGTGATGGCTAACTGAATAGTGTCAGTTCATTCTCTGGGCCACGTGCATTTTTTGTAAGTGTAACAGAGTAGAGTAGATAGACCCTTTCATTTGTCATATTTTTCAACTTCCATAAGCAAGAGTGTGTCAGTTATTTTCCACCTACTACACTTATTTGAAAATTTTTTCTATTCAAATTCAAAATTTAAACTTGATTTTCTTCTTTCTCCCTCATTTTATTCTTTAGTTTACCAAACGTGACGGAGAGGGTCTGGAAATTTTATGGAAGCTTCATTCATACAACAACCATAAGAGAAGCTTTTGAAGGGCTGGGTGTGTCATGAAATTGGACTGGAGGAGAAGAAAATAACCAGGCAATGAGGAAGAAGGGAGAGGCTGATGGTGTAGTGTTGATCGAAGAAGATGGAAGGTGTCGTTGGTGATTGATCAAAAGAGTGGAATAAGAGGTTTCTAGTTTTGGCTGAGGGGAAGTTGTGAGATCTGGTTTTAGGTGCGTGTGTTGCCGGCCTGTTTTTCTGGTTCAAAGTCGCCATGTTTGAAAGTGGAAGAGGGAATGGTCATCAATGAAAATGATGTTGAGGAGGTGAGTCGTGGTCTGAGGTATGGAGGTTGTAGTTTGGTGTTCTCCTCCCCTCTTTTTGGCTAAACCCTAAACCCATAAACTAAATCTTAGAACATATAAATTGTAGGAGTTAAACTCAATGCATAAATTCTAATTAAAATTGTTGTGCATAGATTTTCCCCCTCAAATTGACTTAATTACTTCAAAATATATTATTACTTTCATTTCTAAATATAAGATTTACTTTTAAGGAGGTAGTATTGATAGGTAGAGGTTTTGTTGATGATTTTAAGAAAGAAATCATAAAGTTATTGAGTTGGTAAATTAAAATTTAAGGAAATTAATGCATCCCTTGCATTGCGCGGGGAAATACTTAGCCCAACCAAGCTCTACGACTAAAGAGAGAGGAAAAATGTCACCTAAACCGTAATATGTATTGAAAGATATTAGCTCATATGCAACCAACTAAGTGAGAATTTTAAGGTTCTCATCAATTAGAGGAAAGATTTTGTTAAATTTATAAAGCGCAACTTCTTATCCCCACTTTGATTTACTCCATTGAAGCTATTTTCATTTTTTTTCTCCTCTTATCACATTTAGCTTTTTGTTATTATTAAATAATTATCGAGTAATGATATTATTAAATAATTATTTTAAAATATAAAAAATTATATTTTTAAAGAATGATAGTTGAGAGATTATTTTTATTTTTTATCCTACACCTATTAAAATAATTATTTTCAAAAAATAAAAATAAATAAAAATAAATCTGGACTATCCAGATCAAATCTGGACGGTTCAGATCTGATGAGCATTGGGTGCTCATCAAAACTTATGAGCATTGGGTGCTCATCAAAACTGATGAGCACCCAATGTAAATCCTTATTAACTATGCTTCTCAAATTTTACATGTAGAATATAATGAAGAATTGCGTATGAAAAAATTCATTCAAGTATAATTTTCTTCTATATTCATTCATATCTATAATATTCTGTATTTCATTACATTGTACCAAAATGCATAATTGTAGTTTCTTCAACTTCTTCAACCTTAACGGTCCAAGAAAAATGCTGATGTAGCATACAAGCATATTCTTGAGTTGGTATCAGACACGGGCTCCTATTCTCTATTGACTTTGGGTGATATTTGGTCAAATCTAATCTAAACCCCCATATTTGAGATGTATCATTCCTTCTCTCTTGAAAGAGTTTTGTCCTCAAAGTTGTT